CCACCCGCTCTCCCCCCGGCCCAGCAGCCTCTGTCCGTGGAGCACTCAGACAGGGGCTGCTGCTGTCTCTGTACCAGTCTGCGAGGGACCTGGTTTTTAAACTCTCTCTCCTCATGGACCATCTCCCTCCTGGCAGCAGCACAGGGTGGCAGGGAGCTCCTCAGAGTGAGGCAGGAACACACTGGCCGCCAGCCCTGCCCCCGGGGACTATAGAATAGTCGACTAAATGCTAGGAATTCATGCGGCTAGTCAACTATTCAATTAACCAAGAGCTAACAACTCTAGCTGCCTCTTCCTCCTCCTTCCCCACTGTACAATAAGGATAAAACTCACCTACCTCCCAGCGGGCTAGTGATAACCAAGGAGTTTGCATTTGTAAAGCACTTACATGAAAGTGGCAACATCCACCAGAATGCATGGGCAGCCGCTGCTTATTTGGAGATGTGTCCTAGCAACAATTGTGGATGATACTATGCAGGCCCACCACAGTCGGGACCCCCTTGTTCTGCAGGAGTAGTTTTGGAATGTTGGGGGCAGGTGAGGGAAGTAAAGGAACAGATAACCTCCCTCTCCCCCTTGTGTGTGTCAAGCGGTAATAGGTGCTGTACAAAGAAACATTTCCCCAATGTACTGTATCGGTGAACAGCAGTAGATTACATTGGGGAAAGGGAGTGGGACTTTGTTAGAAGACCATACAAAGATAAAACCTACTGCGATTAATACAGGTTACCCACTGGCCAGATCTGTAAGGAGCAAACAAAACCAAACAATTGAAGATACTTTAAAAATCCTACACACAGATTAAAAGCTCTCATCAGATTTGCCTGAGCTGTTACCAGTTACTAAACATGCTAGTCACAAACTAATATCCAGAGACCCTCAGATTCTGGTTTCTTCCAGTGAAAGAAACACAGCAATTCTTGATATCTGTCTGGTGTTAAAATGGTATGGGAGCCAAACTCATTACAATCTGTGCCAAGACAGACAGGGTCTGTGTTTCAAATGTTCAGAATATTCATTGAAAAATTCATTTGTAAAAATGGAACTAAACCAGATCAGGAGCACATAGACCTGCACTGACTTCACTTACGTTTGGCATAGACATCTCGACAGGACACTCCAGTGACCTCCAGTTTCCGTAAGTTCTCACAGACACCATATTCTGCAATGACAAGATAGAAGGTGTTGAAGAGATAATATAATGAATGATCTTGTGAAAAAGTCTGGACTGTCCACAGAATTTTAGGATTCCTACAACTGCAACAAGAATTTAAGCAGCCTTAAATTCAATCCCATGGATTTTATTTAGATAACAACCTTGCAAATTGCTCTATTGGTTTGCATATAATCTTGTTGCTCTTTTCCAGAAGCACAAAAAGAAAGCTGAGTGACATTCCTTTCCAGATTCACTTCTCAGAATCCTTAATACATTTTGCAAGTGATGGCTGGCTGCCTGCAACACATCATGACAAGTTCTTGCTGGTAAATTACAGACACATCTAGAATAGGTAGCAGCATAAAGTGGGGGAAAATGACCCATCCAAACTGATCCTCTGTCAGGAGAGCAAATCATCATTGCAACTGGTAGTTTTACCCCCAACAAGCAAAAAAGTGTGTATTAAGACTCAAGGAAAATGGTCACATTTCCGAGTACTGGAAGATCTATAGCTGAGATCACTGTAAAAGAGTAAGACTGTTTCATGGCCCCAAGTTGTGGAGAATGTAAGAGTCTGCATGTACAAATACACTTGCGAACAATCAGACTGAAATGGATTCTTTGCTTTGCAGATACCTCTGACTGGTTTGTTTTCAATACAGTCTGTTAATCATCCGGGGATCTTAAAAGCCTTTTCAACATTTTAAAAGTAACTTTAAAACAGGAAATGGGAGACTCCACTGCAGTTTCAAAAGGCAAGCATTAAAATTTAATTCTTACACATAGCCAACAAGCACTAGCAAACAGTACAGCAAAAGAAATCCTGTAACAGCAAGGGAAGAGGGGAAACGTATCAAATAGCAAGGAGGAGCTTAGTGCCAAAAGCAAGTCAGCTGCAGATACCCTCATATCCCTCAGTAGGGAAAATCCACACTTTCTGAAAACCTCAACTGCACCTGCTAAAAAAATCAGACACCAGCTTCCTTCAGTAGATTAAAGCACCTGATAGCTCCTCACACCTGTCAGATATCCAATACCAAGCTTGTCCTTAAAGAACCCCAGGGAAGCCACCTGATCCGAAACCCTCTCTCGCACAAGGGATGGTGCCCATCAAGCTTCCTTCAATTTATGATTAACTATTGCTGCCTGTTACCAGTATCTATTCCCAATAACTAGCACTGTACTCTGATTTCAAGTTATAGGCAAAGCAGACATCAATCATGTTCTTACTATACATATGTGCCTACGTAGATACATGTTTGGCAACGGTATGCATCATCATCTGACAGAGCACCCACGAGATTACATGCACTTTGGAAGGTTGACCTGGGTTACTGCAGGAACCAATGTGCACAGTCTCTTGCTACAAGAAGTGTGTTGAATAAAAACAGGAAGGGGATAGGAGGGAGAAAACATATTCCCCGCATTATAAACTTCTGCTCATCAGCAAGAGCAGGATGAAGCCCTAGTTTAGGATGGGAGATGGGGAGGGAGTACAATTAGCTAATGAACAGCAAAGCTTCCAGGAATGCACTTCGAGCCTAGCACAAAACAAGCCATTTCGAGCTGGGCTGGAGCCAATCGAACGTATGCAGCAATCTTGCAGATTCGTGAAACCAAAGCGCATTTCCAGCTTTTAATTCAGGACCTACCCCACAAATGATGCCATGTCCCTCCTGCCAATCTGGCAGGTATTCTACTGCTTTTAACGTTAGCTTGTGTCTTGTTTGGTAACAGAGTAATATCAGTGACATGATAAAAGCAATAGGCTTTTGCAGCTGGTCTGTGATTCAGGAAATTACAGGCCTTCACAAGAGGCTAGAAGTGGTGTTGTCACAGCCTATGGTTTGGAGAATAGCTAGTTCATATACTAAAGCAAAGGTTCACTTGCCTACAGAGCCAGCAAGAGGGCTGCGATGTCTGGCTGTGTGCTTTGCACAGCAAGCAATGCAGATAGATTAAATTGGATTCCGTCATCCAAAGTCAGACTGCAGGGGGAAAAAACCACGTAGGGATGTTACAGGTCCAGCGGAGTGCCTCTTTTGGTCACTGACGCAGCTACTGAACCCCCAGGTTTTTTAAGCCCATAGAAACTGATTGATGTCCAAGTACTGCCACTATCATAACGTCTCTCAGGTGCAGACCTTCTCTTTGGCACATACACCCGCAACAGCAGTGCCACATGGCTCCCCACCACTCAGCCCCCAGAACCAGCGATGACCCCTCAGACTCTCCCTGTCACTTAAACACCAATCCTGGGGGAATTCTGCAATTTTACTATGGCTCCAAATGCAACAATT